GCGAGCAATGGATTAAGGTGAAGTGTAATATCCTTACAGTACTTCTGTATACTGACTCTGAACTTACAAAGAAAATGAAAATGTCAACCAATGTATGAGGTCTCACTTGAAGCAGTTTGCAGTTGAATTATAATTGCATTAATCAGATAATAATTTACCTGTGTTGTAAATGTTAGTTTCATACAAAGCAGTTTGTACGATAATAGTATGTATATATACAAGATTTAGAGAATATTGCATCATTAAAATCAAGAAAAAAGTGGTCCAGTAAAGTAGCTGTCAGCAGTTTGTCTGATTTTGTGAAACACAGGAATAATTTATCAGTTTTATCTGACTGGACAAATACGTATACGTGACGAATGCTGCCAAGCATAACTGACGATACTTGCCGATAGAAGAGTTAGGGTAATGGTTTCTAACCTGTGGGGCATGCATCCCTTGGGGAGCATGAATGGCTCTTTAGTAGTGGGAGGGGACATCTTGATTAAAAATAATTAAATATGAGAAGTACGAATTATGGTGGAATCTGACAAACTCAGTTCGCTGCAACTAGACCAATTATCACATTAATGAAGGTAAGTGTATATTTTTTTCCCCATGATATCTATCAGCACATACCAACTACAGTATGCTAGTAAAATACAGTAGTTAAAGAAATGTTTGAAATGCCTGACACTACTGCAAACTGATGAATGGCTTGAAGAGAATTGAGAGTGACAGTGCGAGTGACTCACTGTGCAATGTCCTCGTCAGTGAAGCCGAGGGCGTGGAGGATGGCGAGGAGGGTGTCCAGGATGGTCTTGGGCTGAGCCTCCTTGCCTCCCGCGGCTCCGGCGATGATGTCGAAGATGATCTGGACGATCTGTTCGAGGGCAGCCTGGCCCTCCGGGGTCAGATGGGGGTAAATATCGGTGTAGATGATGGACAGGTCGACCAGGACCTGGTTGATGTCGGCCTCGCCGGAGTTGACCTGGTTGAGGATGTCGTCGAGGGCGTGCTGGACCTCCAGGATCTCGTCGGGGGTCATGTCGGCGATCACGATCTCCATCTGGTGCTGCAGCTCTTCCAGGGCACTGGGGATGGGAACAGTCCTTCTTAAGTATCCGCTCGTACGGTGATAATGGATTCTGTAACCTTTATAACCTTTGCAAAGAATCATAAATTGTCTGTTTATTCTTGTTGCAAAATAAGTGTGTTCAAAGGCTAAGGGTTCAAGGTTTTCGTTTGTTATGCTCCCTATTTACATGTAGGGTATTTGATAAGTTCCTTCTGTGTTTTCCATTGTTCTTCAGCAAGAATAGTGTTGATACTGACTCCCTTTCTAAACAAGGAAGAGGAGTTTGACTCCCTTCATTATGAGGAAAGGAAACCTTACTTGTCCCAGTACCAACAGCCTTCCATTTAACAACACAAACAAATCTAAGCTGTGTTGTTGAACTTAAATTGGTGGCTAGCAATTCCAGTGTTTTCAATTTACTGCAAATATACTGCATACCATAAAGCAAAATATTACAGATGTTTGCAGATATGCTTATGTATTGCAGACTGATTATTACAGGAAAATATATTTCTCTAAACTTATTTTCCATTGAATGTTTGTATAAGTAAATGGGTAAAGTATATCAATTGAAAAACTGCACATAACAAAAATACTCTAAATTTTAGTAAATCATAATGTCACACTCATTCTAAAAATAAATGAAATGCACTATCTCTGGCTCCGTTGTTCAAATCTCCACCTATGACGAAGCAAAGGAACATATAACCAGGTAGCCCCACTTCCACTTTTAGTGTTGAACCCAAAAGCAAAGATTACTTTCCGAAGAGTATTTTGACTCTTTGTTACCATAAAAAAGGGATTTTTGTGTTACTTCTGGTAATCGTAGAGATATCAAGTAAATTATACAAATTATTATGTAGCTTTGTCTAAGATCGTACAGTGGACTCTCATTGGCTATGCATGACAACGTCATTAGCCCTGCTCATTTATTTGACCCGGTTAATCTATGCTGTATTTTATAGTATTTTTGGCAGTGCAAATTCTTTGGAAATTATTCAGTAATAAAAATTGGTAGCTAAATAAACGAAAAGGAACCCCCCTCCCCACAAGAAAAAAAAAAATTAATAATAGTAATATTTGCATGGAATAAAGCTAAAGGGGCAGGGCTTACCTTAGAAGTTGCCAACTAGGATTTTCATAAAGACAGAGTGGACTACCTGGTTCAAACTGCCTCGGTGGAACCCCCCCCCCAAAAAAAAAAAAAAAAAAAAAAAAATCTGTTCAAGCAACATACTGTGCAATGTCCTCGTCAGTCGAAGTGAAGATGGGCGAGGAGAGGGTGTCCAGGATGGTCTTGGGCTGAGCCTCCTTGCTCCCCGCGGCTCCGGCGATGATGTCGAAGATGATCTGGACGATCTGTTCGAGGGCAGCCTGGCCCTCCGGGTCAGATGGGGGTAAATATCGTGTAGATGATGGACAGGTCGACCAGGACCTGGTTATGAGTCGGCCTCGCCGGAGTTGACCTGGTTGAGGATGTCGTCGAGGGCGTGCTGGACTCCAGGATCTCGTCGGGGTCATGTCGGCGATCACGATCTCCATCTGGTGCTGCAGCTCTTCCAGGGCACTGGGGATGGAAAGGAATCTTTTCATGTAGCTGACAAGAAATATTCCTGCACTGCGAGCAATGGATTAAGGTGAAGTAATAAATCCTTACAATATTGTTGTACAATGAATCTAAAAATACAAAGAAATTAGAATATCAACTACTATAACGTCTTAGTTGAAGCTCTTTTTTCACCGAGGGAAACTACATATGCATAAATCAATATGGTAATTTACCAATGTTGTAATTATTCATACAAATTGATTTATACAATATCATGAAAGATATTCAGAGAATATTGCAATTCAGAAACAAGAAACATCAGGTCTTAGCAAAGTAGTGTATCTGATTTTGTGAATACAGGAACAATTATCAATTTATCTGAATGGACAACTATACATGCAGCGGAGACGAATGCTGCCAAGCATAAATGACGATACTTGCCGATAGATAACTTAGGGGCAGGCATGCCCTTGGGGCACGGAAGAATGCTTGGTAGGGGGAGGGGCCATTGTAATAAGTAATTTGAGAAGTATGAATTATGGTGGAACTGACAAACTCAGTGTAATGTAACTAGACATCACACTAATGTAGGTGAGAGTATAGTTTTTTTCGTGATATCTATTGGCACGTACCAACTTGTAGTAAAATACAGTAGCTGAAGAAGATCAAACGTATCATTCAGTGAGGGGGAGCGTGAATAAATGGAAACTACTGCCTTAGGATCGACCCTTTAACTATATATGAAAACTTTCTGATGTAACAATTGTCTGGAATGTCTGAAACTACACAAAACCTCAGTGCCAGACTGATAAAGGGCTTGAAAGACTTGAGAGTGACTATGCGAGTGACTCACTGTGCAATGTCCTCGTCAGTGAAGCCGAGGCGTGGAGGATGGCGAGGAGGGTGTCCAGGATGGTCTTGGCTGAGCCTCCTTGCCTCCCGCGGCTCCGGCGATGATGTCGAAGATGATCTGGACGATCTGTTCGAGGGCAGCTGGCCCTCGGGTCAGATGGGGTAAATATCGGTGTAGATGATGGACAGGTCGACCAGGACCTGGTTGATGTCGGCCTCGCCGGAGTTGACCTGGTTGAGGATGTCGTCGAGGGCGTGCTGGACCTCCAGGATCTCGTCGGGGGTCATGTCGGCGATCACGATCTCCATCTGGTGCTGCAGCTCTTCCAGGGCACTGGGGATGGGAACAGTCCTTCTTAAGTATCCGCTCGTACGGTGATAATGGATTCTGTAACCTTTATAACCTTTGCAAAGAATCATAAATTGTCTGTTTATTCTTGTTGCAAAATAAGTGTGTTCAAAGGGCTAAGGGTTCAAGGGGTTTTCGTTTGTTATGCTCCCTATTACATGTAGGGTATTGATAAGTTCCTTCTGTGTTTTCCATTGTTCTTCAGCAAGAATAGTGTTGACTGACTCCCTTTCTAAACAAGGAAGAGGAGTTTGACTCCCTTCATTATGAGGAAAGGAAACCTTACTTGTCCCAGTACCAACAGCCTTCCATTTAACAACACAAACAAATCTAAGCTGTGTTGTTGAACTTAAATTGGTGGCTAGCAATTCCAGTGTTTTCAATTTACTGCAAATATACTGCATACCATAAAGCAAAATATTACAGATGTTTGCAGATATGCTTATGTATTGCCGACTGATATTACAGGAAAAATATATTTCTCTAAACTTATTTCCATTGAATGTTTGTATAAGTAAAATATCAATTGAAAAACTGCACATAACAAAAATCCTCTAAATTTTAGTAAATCATAATGTCACACTCATTTCTAAAAATAAATGAAATGCACTATCTCTGGCTCCGTTGTTCAAATCTCCACCTATGACGAAGCAAAGGAACATATAACCAGGTAGCCCCACTTCCACTTTTAGTGTTGAACCCAAAAGCAAAAATTACTTTCCGAAGAGTATTTTGACTCTTTGTTACCATAAATAAAAGGGGAATTTTTGTGTTACTTCTGGTAATCGTAGAGATATCAAGTAAATTATACAAATTATTATGTAGCTTTGTTTAAGATCGTACAGTGGACTCTCATTGGCTATACATGACGTCATTAACACTGCTCATTTATTTGACCGGTTAATCTATGCTGTATTTTATAGTATTTTGGCAGTGTAAATTCTTTGGAAATTATTCAGTAATAAAAATGGTAGCTAAATAAACGAAAGGACCCCCCCCCACACAAGAAAAAAAAATAATAATATAATATTTGCATGGAATAAAGCTAAAGGGGCAGGGCTTACCTTAGAAGTTGCCAACTAGGATTTTCATAAAGACAGAGTGGACTACCTGGTTCAAACTGCCTTGGTGAACCCCCCCCCCAAAAAAAAAAAAAAAAAAAAAAAAAAATCTGTTCAAGCAACATACTGTGCAATGTCCTCGTCAGTGAAGCCGAGCGTGAGGATGGCGAGGAGGGTGTCCAGGATGGTCTTGGGCTGAGCCTCCTTGCCTCCCGCGGCTCCGGCGATGATGTCGAAGATGATCTGGACGATCTGTTCGAGGCAGCCTGGCCCCCGGGGTCAGATGGGGGTAAATGTCGGTGTAGATGATGGACAGGTCGACCAGGACCTGGTTGATGTCGGCCTCGCCGGAGTTGACCTGGTTGAGGATGTCGTCGAGGGCGTGCTGGACCTCCAGGATCTCGTCGGGGGTCATGTCGGCGATCACGATCTCCATCTGGTGCTGCAGCTCATCCAAAGCTCTATGATATGAAATATTGGGCTTAGTTTTCACGCGAGTTTTAGCTTTATATATCCTATTTCATGTATCAAACACTTTCCAATTGACATTTCTTTCTGTCCGCTTTTAACTTACGCCGCAATTTCCTCATCGGAGACGCCGAGGCTGTGCAGGATGCTCAAGATGGTGTCGAGGATGGTGCGAGGGGCGGCCTGGCCTGCGAGGGAGAGGAAATGAGAGACGGAAATGGGTGATCAATTCGCGGTGAAAGTTACCGTGCCGTCAGAAATGTGAGGAAAACCATTCTTAGATATTTAATTCTAAATCGGAGAACTTATAAACTTGGGAGCCAGGTAATGCTTTTCAAATTACATTCAGATCATAATGGTATAATGTGCATCTCTTGAATTTTATGGGTAATGCAAATAACATCAACAGCAAACAAGAAAAATAATGATAATCATGAAATTGTAGTCTTAATAGTAATTGCAGTTGTAGTAGTAGTAATAATAGTAGTAGTAATTTTAGTAGTAGTAATAGAAGTAGTAGTAGTAGCAGTAGTAATAGTAGTAGTAGTAGTATTAATAGTCGTAGTAAAAGAAGTAGTAGTAATTGTAGTAGTAATAATAGTAGTATTAGTAATAATAGTAATAGTTGCAGTAGCAGTAATAGTAGAAGTAGTATTGTTGTTGTTCCATTAGTGGTAGTAGGGCCAGTTAGTGACAGTAATACTTGATTGCATACCAGACAGGCGAGCGCTGCGGTGCGCGGGGCGCAGGGCGGGGCGGAGCTGCTTGACGGGGCCGGCGCCAGGGACCAGCTGGTGCGAAGGAGAGGGCGGGCGGAGCGCAAGGGCGGGGAGGGACGCCGCCCCCGCGCACGCCAAGCCGGCCAGAAGAAGCAACGCGACTTTCATCCTGTTGAACGAATTATAGAATTATTAATTGTAACTCTATTCATGAGTTTATTTCCCTCTTTTTTTATTTTGCTGAGTAGTCTTTTCTGTTATTTATCATCGAAGATTTCTTTTCTTTATCTGTCATTAATGAGAAAACGTTATTGACCTTTTCCTTGAGCGTACAGACAGATTTGACCAGTGTCCCTAATGTTTGATCCTTTTCGTCGCATTTTAGACGAGAAATACAAACAAGTTATGGTTTGGTTCGGTTTGTCATGCCTTGCCGAGGTCGCCAAAAATAGTCTTAACAGCAAATTTCCTATCAGAGACTATCATTAACGGAAGAAGATGTAGAAATAAAAGAAAGATAAAAAAGAAGAGAAACATTTACATACTATATACCACATAACTAGAAAAAACGCCCTCATATAGTTTAAAAGGATAATGTCAACTATTGAAAGGAAAGATGGAGATAAAAGCAAATGAAAACGCACCTCCAAGATTCCCTGAATGGCCATAATAAGATTACATGTAGCACACATTCATCTTCTAGAGAATATTCACCTATTAATGAATGATGGAATAGTGCATTGGCCGCATTGTTATGATGTATATATAACCTCTCCGAAAGGGATTCGAACCCTCACCGCCGTTGCAAGTGACTGCAAAACGGTCATTCTAACCACTGATGCACGACACACTTCCAACGGCGGTTGAGGGTTCGAATCCCTTTGGGAAAGGTTATATAGCCTATAAATATATTCCAGTTAATACTTCTAGTCGGCACAGATATGATCGCAACTTGCTAGTTTGTGATATCGACTGGATACAAAATAACTGAATAATCAAGCGAATTCCATTATGATTATTTATTTTCATCGGACAGCTTGACGTTTGTTTACTATTGTAACGCCATAAAGCTGTAGCATGGTTCCTCTGAAGGCAGTTTGAAAATGCTTGGTTTGCTTTTCTGAATAAGATCAGTCAAAAATAGGAATGAACAAGAGATTTCAGAAAATTTCAAGGAATCTTGAAATATCTTGCTCTCAAAAACGCTCCTTATGATCCTACCAATGACTAAGTACAAGTTAAATTGGATTCTAAAAATTCAATAAAGACTTGTCGAAGACTAACATTAATAATCAAGTTAAAAACCAGACAAACAGTGGATAACCAACCTTAAAGTTTCTGCAGAGGAGAATGGTGCCAGAGAGTAAACCGCCGTTTCTTATATACTTCCTGAAAGCAGAGTTGTGCCTCCGCTTATGAAACGGCTCGAGATACGTCATGCGCTT